CATAATAGGCCACAACTCTCTAGTAATAGAAGCAAGGCACAGAAAAACGTTCACTGTTGTGAGAACTGGGATATTGGCATTGCCACCATAGCAAAACCAAAGCTGATTAATGCAAAGCTACGTGCAGAATGAGTTATTATTAGAGAGCCAAGACCAGGTCCAGAGGAAACATTGCCAGCATCAGTATCTTCATTCTGTTCTTCCAATCCTAAATTTTTCTTCTTTCCCAATGGTAAGCATCCCTGGACCACCATAACAGATTCAGTGACCTGGTTTTTGAACTTTATATACATGGAACCATGCAGTGTATTTCCTCTTGTGCCTTATGTCTTTTCCTTGTCATTATAGTTGTGTGATTTATCCATGTGATTATCTAAAACAAAACTTCCTATCATGCTTTGTTTTATTTTACATCATAAAAATGCCATAGTCTAATTAACCATGCTTCTGTTGTCCAGATGCTCTCAGATGGATGTCATTGCTCCTGCTAAGAATTTTTCTTGGTATTTTTTTCTTTTTGATACTTTACGGAATTTTTTACTTTATAGTTCTTTTAACTTTTAACATTTCTATTTTGCATAAATAACTTGATTATGTTAAAATATTATATGTTAGTTGGGTGTTTTCTCTGTGCTAGGCATTGCCTAAATGTTTTATGTGCATAATTCACTCACAAACATTTACTAAACATCTGATATTCCATAGCCTCCAAAAGTATAGGAGTAAACACAATGAACAAAAATCTCTACACCTATAGACTTTATATTTTAGGGACTATCTTGTACTTCTGAGAGTTTTCTGAAAAGATAGAACTATAGGGTATACATATGTATCTAACTTGTGATGATTTGATTTATGATTTTTCAGCTTTATGGTGATGTGAAAGCAATACTTGTTCAGTAGAAACTATACTTCAAATTTTGGATTTTGATGTTTTCCTTGGCTACTGAGGTGCAGTGTGAGTTCTCTTGAGATGCTAGGCAAGAGCAGCCACTATTAGCTCTTAGCCAGCTATGTCATGAAAGGAAACAGCAATGTTCCACTGTATTATGTTCCTAAGGTAAGGTATTAGGTAGATTAGGTGTATTAAATATGTATTTTAAGTATGATGCTTTTAACTTATGGATTGTATAATCAGATGACCCTCTCTTAACTCAAAAGAGCACCTGGATGCATGTATGGATGGATGGATGGAAGGATGAGTAGGCACCTATTAGGGCAATTGGATCACATGCTTTTAGAGGCTGAGAAGTCCTCTAATAGGTTGTTGGTAAGTTGGAGCCCAAGAATCTTGATACCAGAAGTTCACAAACCTCAGGAACAGGCAAGCTGGGAGTTTCATTCTCAGTCTGAGGCAATAAATCTGAGAACTTAGGGTACTGTTGGTCTAAGTGAACTTAAGGTACTACTGGAGTATGTCCTGGGGCCTCAAGGTTAGAGAATTTAGGCTCTGATGTCCACAGGCAAGATGAGGAAAGTGTGCTACCTCCTGCAGAAAGAAAACCAAACCTTTTGTTTTGTTCTATCTAGGTTTCCAGCTGACTGGTTGGTACTTGTCCATACTGGGGCTGGATCTATCCCATCCAGTCTACTGACTCACATGTCAATCATCTCAGGAAACACTTTTCATAGACACAGCCAGAGATGATGCATTTCTAGCTCCCTGGGTATACCTTAACCAAGATAAATAGACACTTAAAAAGTCGTTGCAAATCTGCCCTTTGCCAACTTGACCCTTAAGAATTTCCATAAAGGGTAACTAACCCCCAAATAAAAGCAATAACAAGGTAATAGGTCCACTTAACATGACATATCTATCCTTAAATACAACCAGAATAGGAGACAAAACTCCTTGGGTGTTGTTTACTCTCCTTCTGATTGTTCCACAACCTAAATAGTATGATATAAAATTAATCATACTTAAATATGAATATAAAGTCAATATATTGTATCTTGCATGATAAAAGCATCAGAAGAATGATAACAAATGTTTCCAATAAAATATGGATGCGCACACAAAAATGTATTGTTAATAAAATGCAACAGACATACACTTGATAGCTGCAGTCTGTGCTTCTACAATCAGTCAGAAGGTCATAGCTGGTATTTGTGAATGCTCCTCTGATATGCATTCTGTATTGTTTGCCTTCAGCAACTACTTCAGCCATCAATGGCACTTTGTCTAGTGCAATGACTTAAACTTTTGTTCCTACAGGATCTGAGCCATTCATAAACCTGCCTGGACTGAATTGTTCTCATTTCCCTGGCTGACTGACTTCATTCACAGAGTATGCTAATACCAAGAGATGCCTTGAGAAACCTGCAGTTCATTGTGAAGTAGTAGTCTGATTTTTATTTGGTAAGGTTACAGTGATCACCCCATCCAGCACTGAAATGCTCTTCTTCCTTGTTGACTCAGAGGAAATGAGGAGCTCAAAGTCTTGATGGCAACATCCTTGCCTATGGAGCTAAGGTGTTCAGATCAGCAGAGCATCATGGGAACAGGAACACTCATTTTGCTAGTGGGTTATTAAAGGTAATGATGAGCAGTATCACATCCATTTGTGCCCCAAATTTCTTATAGTCAGGACAGGATCTGACTATAAGCATAACATTTACTTATGTTCATATAATCCTTATACATGTAGACTAAAATTAATTGTGCATTGTTTTTTAAATTCTGTGCCTGAAACAAAGTTTTCTGGTAAAAAGCTTTGCACCTGTGGCATCATATTGGTATTCAAAATTTCTAGATTTGAAGAATTTCAGACTGTAGAATTTTTTATTAAGAACACCCAGTTTTCATTCTAAGGAACTCACATGAAAAGAGCTTATAATTCACTTGGAAATCTTTTATTCTAGATGTGTGCATGACGTTCAAACAACAGTGAGCGCCATTCTTATAAAATTGAATACAATTTTTATATTATATAAATACCTTGCTTACCCACTCCTCCAGGCACTTAATTTGTACTGAATTTTGTAGCTGGTTTGAAGAAATAATTCTGTTAGTCTTCTGATGAACATTGTTATGTTTTCTGCTTAGTTTTCTAATTGATAGGCCTTAGGATATTATTAGTGTAATGACCATAATTAAGATTTCAATTAATTTTCAGTTTCATGCATATGAACCCTTTGTAATATGCAATGAAATGTCAGTACGATTATTGTTGTTATTTTGGGATTTCTTGTTTTGTCAATATAGGCCATGGGAGGAAGTCTTAGGTGACCGAACCCATTATCCTCTTCCTCTCCTTTAAGTCCAATGAGTTGAGGACTTTCTACAAGGAGACAGGAAACAGATTTACCGTATGCTTCCCAACCTCTCTTTGTGTTCTAAACTCTGGTTTACAGCCTCCAGTGTGGTTGTCTTTGCTGACAGAATTACCTTTTGTTTTGGAAGATAAGGTTGATGCATTTTTTAAAGTCAGTGGGCTTTATATCCTTGTTGTATGCTTTGGGATTGGATTAAAGCCTTTGGTGCTGCATTATCTAGTGTCCAACCACATCTAAAAATATACAACAAATATCCTGAAATTAATAACTATAGAAGGGTACAAAGTGATAGTCTTCATAACTGATTACAGAGATGATCCATTATAACAACACAAAAGTGACACCATTTAAATGCTACATAATAAATAGAAACAAAGTGGCAGACTAACAGAATTTAAGTCTAAAAAATGAAGATACATGGCTAGATGGATGTTTAACAGCTCAAAGCATGTGCTGTAAGCCCTGATTTCAGTTTCAATGCTTAGGATAGGACACTAGACATGTGAACTTGAATATCTATTTGATTAACAGCTTCTTAAGAAGTAAAATTAGCTCTTATAGACTTTGGAAAGAATTTCTGGCAAGCAGGATAAGAGGGTAGGTTTTAATGGAGATAATCCTCTAAGAAATTACTCCCCAGCAGTTAAAAATATAGAAAAGCAAGATAGACTTGAACTAAGCCCACTAAATCCTGTTTTACACATTGTTTTCAATTTAATACATACTTTAGAGCTAGGTAAAACTATTTAGCAGTCATTCTGATAAATTCTATTCTTTATGCAGTTTTCACTTCTTCTCTCGTGCTAGTAATGATTACATCACTGCTATCAGTTGTTAAAGCTACTGAATGGAAATATTGGATGGAGTCCTCTAAGCTTGTGGATTAAGATGATAGATTTGTGACTTCATGTGCTCTACAAATGGTGAACACAAGGGTTGTCTGGGCACCTAAGTAGCTTGATAGACAAGCATGTCATGATCTCTCGCCTATTAACGTTGATTCCATAGATCTGGGAAGATCCAGGAACATTGACTAATGATTAAAGTGAACAGGCAAAAGTTGAGAATTCTATACCATTGTCAATTCAAATTGCATTTCACAGAGGGTGGCATTTGTTTAAAATCTCTTTCAGCATTTATTGTAATTCACATTATTCTACAAAAATATTATCTTTTATTATCCAAATAATACCTATAGCAAAATCACAAAAATAAAAAAAAACAAAAAAATGAGCTCAGATAAGACCATTATTAGTTTTAAAGTATTAAATACAAATTCAAGACTTAACTATAGTCTTAGTGTTTGCCTTCACACTTGAACACAGAACTCCATAGCAAATTGTCATTATTTACTAAAGGGGGTTTCTATCCCTCCCCTTTTGCCCCACTAAAACATTTTTTTTTCTGATTTTTCTGATTCCTTACCTCTGGAGGAGTTGTGTGTGACAAGGGACTTCAACAGTTCTAATAATGGCCTTTGGGGATTAGCTGTCCTGGTGACATATCAAATTAGTTTGATTGAATTTCACTTACTCATTCAATTTCTTCATTCAACAAATGTTTCTTGAGGTCCTATTAATAAGCCAGGCACTACGCTGTGTGTTGATAATACACATCCACTTTTCTGGAGAGACTTGACACATTAATATAGGAGTCAAACACACAAGAAATAGCGTACTATATATGTGCAGTACATAGATAAAAGGCATCTAAGTAAGAATAGGCCCAAGACTAGAGTTACGTTCTGACATGATTACTTGTCCTGGCATGCTAGATTTCTTGAAGAGGATCGGCTTGTCTTGGTTCACCAGTGGGAGCAGTCAGTGCCCCTATTGGTGCCCTGAACAGAAACATGTCCTTCCAAAAAACATAAATAAATAAGGAGTCAGGGAAGATGAACAATTTGAGATTGGGGATTTAGAACCAGAACATACTTACCTGTATCATTTTACTGAGGTGGGGTATACTATCTCTGCACCTCTGCTTTGCCATCGCCTAAAGTGGAGGTCAGGAACCTCTTCTTTATCTTCTAATATTCTTTTGAAAAAGCAATGGGGAGATGGGTCAAGATGGGAGCAGGTAAAGTGCCTGCTACAAAAACATGAAGGCCCAAGTGCCCTAGTCAAAGCAAGGATTTATGATGTGTGCCTGTAATCCCAGCACTGGGGAGGTAGAGGCAGGAGAATCCCTGAGGCTTGCTCACCAGCCAGTCTAGAAGAATCTATGAGCTCTAGGTTCAGTAAGAGTCCTTGTGTCAAAAAGTAAGATGGAAGGAATTGTGGAAGACCCCCATTGTTCACTTGCACCTACTTGCACGTATGTGTGCACACACCCACATGAACACACACACACACACATGATTCCATTTCTTTTTCCACAAAATACCTTATCATTGGGGTGGATCTACAAGGACTTAGAGGAAGGAGTGGGAATGAATACGATCAAAATACTTCTCAAACCATCAATAAAAATGTTATATTAAAATGTATTATCTTTCATTGTATTTCCCTTTTCCATTTTTCAAGTGTGTATGTGTAGAGCACATGTTGAATGAATGTGGGTGTCCATGCATGTGTGTACACATACATGTGGAGCTCTGAGACTGATGTTGGAAATCATCATATAAGGCTCTTCCCCTTAATTTATTGAGGCAGGATATCTTAATCAAACTCAGAGCTCACAGATATGGTAATCTCACTAGTCAGCTTGCTCTGTAGACCCTGTCTCTATCTTCCAAGCGTGGAACTACAACTTGGCCACCACACCTACTCAGCATCTATTATTGTATTTTCAAGGGTAATACAATTTTGAAAATATCTTCTCCTTGAAAAGCTTCTATTCTTCTGAGAAAATTTTCACTTTTTGTTTGTTTTATTCTCCTCTTTTCAAAGTGGAAGTCATACTGAAAAATCCTCTAGTCTCTTGCCTTTGCCTGAAGTGACTTAGACTGAGTTATCAACCTGTCGAGTGCATGGGATAAGAGGATAAGGGTCTCAGTGTTCAGGAATTAAAAGGTCAATGAGAGTCACTCAGCTCATCTGGTGATATACTATGGCAGGATAACTAATCCTTAGACTTCTCACCAAATTATGCATTGACTTTTGGGGTGGTTTGAGTGAGAATGTCTCCCATAGGCTCTAAGTATTTGAATCCTTGGTCAGTTTGTGGTGCTGTTAGAGGACGGTCATGGAACCTTTAAGAGTTGGGGTCATGCTGGAGGAAGCATGGCACTGGGGATGAGTCCTGAGAATTCATAATCTTATCCCACCTTGAGTTTGGTTTCTGCTGCTGCCTCCTGCCACCATGCCTTCCCACCATGCTGGGCTCTTTTCCTTCTGGAAACATAAGTCCAATAAACTCTTCCTTCTAGAGGTTGTTTTAGCCACAGTGCTTTGTCAACAATAAAGTAACCAGTACAGCTTTATATTCACCTCCAGATGAGGGTGCAAATAGGGTTGCTTTTGTTTTCCACAAACCAGCTTTGATTTTGCCTTCACTTGGCTGCTGTCAGTTGCCATTAATCAGTTGTTATTTGCTTTCTAGCTTGCACGCTTTGTTTTCTTATACTCTTCTGTTCTCTTTGTCTTTGTGACTTGGTGCCTTGAAACAAAACAGGATGGGCATGAGGATGAGGATGGGGGGGTGCGAAGAAAAGAAACTGAAACTAAACCAAACAACCTCAGTATGATCTGGTTTCAAAGAGGAAATAAACTCATGTGTCTGGTTGGCTATTTTACCTATGTCTAAGCTCATCATTACTATAGAAATTGTGCTAAGAGCTTAATTCATAATGGTGCTGGGCCACAGGCATTGTTATCATTATCATCATCATCACCAGCAGCAGCAACATCATCATTATTACTGTTCTTATTATTATACTTTTCTGGTTAGAGGATGGAATTTCAAAGATTCCAAGTGGTCCAAGGGTTAGGAAAAGCTTGGGAGCCAGCTTTTAAATCTGGAGATTGGATCATACAAGGTTTGAGATCTATTGGAGGTTAATGTTGCTATCAAAACACAGTCCTGGGATTGGAAGAACGGCTCAGCAGTTAAGAGCACTTGTCACTCCTCTTGCAGAGGATCCAAATTTGGTTCCCAGCACCCGTATCTAGGAGCTCACAACTGCTTGTAACACCCTTTCCAAAGGATCTGACACCTTCTTTTGGCCTCCTTGGGCACGTGCGCATATATATAAATTAAAAAACAAGACAAAACAAATTGCTCCCTCTTTTCCTGCATTTGTTACAGCTAATGCTGATTCCAAACACACCTTGGTGGACTTCCACAGTGAGGACAGGAAAGTTGGTTATGAGGTAGCCATGTTCTACAGAGGCCTGAGTTTGTCAGCCTTGTTCAGACTGGACTGTATTCTGATTTAAATCCTGTGTTTTGGGATCTTGAAAAAACTTACATTTTGATGATCTATTTTTGTATTTTGCTAATTTTAAAGTGCAAATCACCTGCTGTCAAAGGAGGTGGAGAATAATAAAGATGTAAATATGGTGATTTCCATGGGGAAAAGCAGATTTTTAGCAGATTGTTTCAAAAAATTAAGTATTTAACAGCTGTTGTGCAAAATAAGTGACATGCTTCCCAAATGTTAAGGAAAGTGCACAGGTAACTGTAAGCTAAGGCTTGCGGAACCATTTGACTGCATATTGCATGACTAATTTAATTAACTAATTTTATTATTGACCAACTTTAAATCTTTGCTTGCTAAAAATATTATGCTGCATGAAAAATAAATGTAAATTGCCAGTTCAATTTTCTTATATGATTTGTGACACTGATTTCACATGCAACTATTTAGGAGTGGAATATACATTTTTTTCTAGGTGATGAATAGGGTAAGAAGGGGTAAAAGATAAGCTATTTGGGGGAGAATTAATCCTTGTAGAGTTGAAGGTTAAGTATGAGTGGTAAAATGGTTATTAACTACACTGCATTTAAAATATGAGAGCAGAATGTGATAACTGAAAAAAAATCACATCTCTTCCAAAAGTCTTCCGTTAATATGCAAACCTGTGACCCAGCAAGCAGTTTACTGAAGCTGTTTGTTATGAACTGAAAGCATTTCCTTCACATTTATGTGGAGAAGCTCTGAACCCTAGTGTGAGAGCATGGAAGATGGGAGCTAATTAGAACTCAGCTGTGTCAAGAGAATGGAGCTCTCATGATGGAATTAGGATGCTGGTAGGGAGAGAGAGAGAGAGAGAGAGAGAGAGAGAGAGAGAGAGAGAGAGAGAGAGAGAGTGAAGAGAGAGGGCTAAGATCATTCTGCCATTTGATGGTCTGGTGAAGAGAGGTAGTCTGCAAAGCAGAGACAGAATCCTCACAAGACCTGGCCTGTTCTTAGAACCTGATCTTTGAAACATAAAAAAGTCCATTTCAAGGGGCTGGAGAGATGGGTCAGTGGCTTAAAAACACTGGCTGCTCTTGCAGAGACCTGGTTCAGTTCCCAGCATATGACGGCTAGCAACCATCCATAACTCCAGTTCCAGGGGATCCGATATTCTCTTATGACCTCCATGGACATTACACTACATGGGTGTACACTTACATACATGCACTCACAAACATAAAAGGAAAAAATAAAATATTTTTAACAGTACATTTCAAGTGTATAAGGCACTCAATTTATGGAATGTGTTATAGCAGTCAAAACTGAAGATGTATCTCTACATTGGACTTGATCTTGTGCTGAGCTTTTGGACCACAGACATCTGTGTTTTTCCTCACAGGGTACTTCCCTTTTTTCAGTGTATATCCCATGGAACATGAGTCATCAGCTCTTCTCTGCAGTTTGCAATTCTTTCTGACCTACTTTTGAAGTGTATCTGAACACGCTTCTATATGAAATCGCCCACCATTTTTAATACTGACACAGTATGGTATATTTTAACATATTTCTGAAGGATATACCCTTAAGAGATCAGTTTGCAATCTTCATTTTCTGAGCTCCTTGAAAGCAGAGTGTGTGCTTTATTTTAACCCTGATTTCCAAAGCCTGAACTGGTTGGGGATCAAACAACATTTGTTCTTGCTGATCCTGACTCTAGCTGCTCCTTCTCTTGCATTCCAATTTCATTTATTCTTTTACAATATTTTATTATTTTTATTTTAATTTTTTTATATGTGTATTGCCTGCATGTGTGTAGGTGCACCCGTGTCGTGCAATGCCCTTGGAAGTCAGAAGAGGGTGTCAGATCCCCTGGAACTTGAGTTATGGATGGTTGTTACCTGCCATGTGGGTGCTGGGATTCAAACCTGGGTTTGAATCTGCAAGAACAGCCAGTGCTCTTAACCACTGAGCCATCTCTCCAGCCCCCCCAATTCCTTTTGTTCTTATATTCTCCTACTTGTAGTTTACTTATTTGCCTTCCTTTCATCTCAAGTTTTGACCAAATTCTGTTTAGGATCAACAGTAAAGAATCTGTTTTTTAACATCATCACTCTTTCATTCTTCCCCCCCCCCCCCAGAACTAGGTTTGACTCGTCTCACGTAAAAAAAAAAGAAAAAAAAAGTTTCTTATTTTGATTTCTGACTCTGGGCTTGTGCCTTCAGCATTTTCACAATGATTTTCTACTTTTCAGTAAGTTGATCCTGTCTTGGTCATGTTTAGCACCTGTGGACCCAATGCAGGCTGTGCTGATGTGATTTCTCATTTTAGATGATCTCGTAAAGACTTTAGGTCTCGCAGCATGAACCCCTTGAAGTCAGCTGAGTACACACCACACACAGAGGTTAGTGCGTAGGAATAAAGGCATAACATTGTATTACCAAGGGTTAAGAACAGCCTTGTTTTGTTAGAGGCTATATTGTAGGAAAACCTGAGCTGGTGTCAAATGTAGAACC